AACACTTGTCTTGTGGTTGCCAATTAATGAAACTGATACATATTTAACTTGATGGGTACCAGTGATTTAACCAATAGGCCTTTGCACGTTTCACTGCCGCAGCCTCTTTATAATTAGACTTTTGGTCTGATTATTATCACAACTTCATACATTTTCCTCTAATCGCCCATTGGTTGTCAGTATAAATGGTGCTGACATTAAATATGTTTGTCTGTCAATTGCAAATATCATTAATTTTAATCAAGCAGTGTATCACATCGTGCCTTTCTAATCTCTGAAATAACTTTTGGGTTTATTTTCTGATGCTCTTTATTTAATTGTTAAGTGTTCGAGTCAGCAACAGGCTAAGTATTGCCTTTCTTCAAAGTGAAATGAGGGCTCTCAGTTCCTCACAAAGGAGCTAAGTACCTTTTATGATCAAATCCTAAGTGCATAATAAATATGTAAAAAAGCAAAGCTTCTTTCCATGGCTAATCACTGAACTTTAAATAATATTTATAATAATATTCTGTTTTAATACTGATAGTGGCGTCTTAATGTTTTGATGAAATAAAGAGCCTGGAGAACATCTTTATTACAAATAGAATGTTTATCTGATGTACACAAACAATGAGCACTATTTTACATGAAACGATGAACTATTACAAAACTATAGCTGAAATATATATTACTACTGAACAACTTTTGCATCATTTCATGCACAGAAAGCACCAAATCTCTTCTAAAGAAAGCAGCACTTTTGATATTAGGAATTTAAAATGCAATCTGAAACCTTACTTAATTCATTAAGTAAGAGTATCTTTTAGTGCCAAATGCACATTATCAGCTTTAAAAAATGTTTTACATCTTAAAATACAATATTCTGTTTATCCTAGATTGTCTGGGGAACATCTAGTACATTAAAAGGTTTTTGTAGAGCTTCTTAGTGATTTAACTGATATCATCATGCCTGCTAGCAATTTTGCAACATTCTGAAAACACTTTCCATAAATCAAAGCCTTAGCAGC